GATGAAGAAGAGGATGAGGATGATGAAGATGAAGAAGAGAGAGGATGAGGAAGAAGAGGAGGATGAGGAAGAAGAGGAGGATGAGGATGAAGAGGAGGATGAGGATGAAGAGGAGGATGAGGATGAAGAAGAAGAAGAGGATGAAGAAGAAGAAGAGGATGAAGAAGAAGAAGAGGATGAAGAAGAAGAGAGGAGGATGAAGAAGAAGAAGAAGAAGAGGATGAAGAAGAAGAAGAAGAAGTAGGATGAAAATAAGAATTCCAGTCCAGCAAAAAGTGTCTCTGCAGAGAGCTCCGCTATTTCTGACAGTTCTCTGACAGTTCCTTGACATTTACAGCGGTTGAAACATTGTATCTATTTGTTTCCGAATAAAAACATCTGTATCCTAAATGGAAACAAATAGATACATTGTTGCAACTTCTATAAATGTCAAGGAACTGTCAGAGAACTGTCAAAGAAATAGCAGAGCTCTCTGCAGGGACACTTTTTGCCGGCTCTAGACGGGTAGAAAATCGGCGTTTTTTTTTTTTTTTTGTTTTTTGTTTTTTGTTTTTTTTTTTACCATTGATGGTAACGTCGGCCACTTTGAACAACCGATTTTTCGTTTTTTTTTTAAAAGAAAAATCTTCAGTTTTTCTCCCCATCTATGGCCTGCATAATACTTGCATGCGATCTTCCCCTCATAGCACCTTTTGTACCATATATCTAATGTGTGGATCTAGGCACAGAATGTTTCAATTCTGTTGTATGATCATCTGAAGCCAGGAATCTGATAACAAAACAATAAGACCTAAGAATCTGCTTTTATAGGAAAAATGGAAAAATACTTTTCTGTGGTACTTCATATGCTGGCTAGATATCAAATAATCTGGGCAAATAAATATGATATTGAGTCCTACTAAATAAATGTAATGCACAAGCTCTAACTACAAAGAGACCATGAAACCACAGTTGAATTTAGACTTGTTGACATAAGGTATGTTCTGCATTCAGATTAATTTTCTTAGCTTTGTAGATAAATAAAGCAGGCGTCTGTAGCACTCATTTTCTAAGAAGCCATTAAGGAAATGCATATAAATAAGGATGCCATTGTTGACCTCTCTTTCTGAAAATGCTTGTTTCCTGGTTGCCATGCTGTTCCAATGGCTTCATTGATATTTTGTATTCACTGACTAGAAATATGCAGATTAGAAGCTGAGTGTTTACTTCTACTTTTTAAATGCTAGTTGCCCGGATTAAAAAGTAAATCATAATAATAATCAGCATGGACAGCCCCTGTTTTTCCGCAGCACAGCTTCCCTTTAACAAGGGAGATCGTTAAATGGATTCTATGGATGAACAGCTCTGATTTCCCAGAACCAGTCTTCAGATTATGTGCATATTCTGGATCTTTGCCATATATTCTTTTAAATCAGTTTAGTGTTTTTTTCCAGGCCAGGAAGTATTCCTTTTTATTGGATTATATAACAAAGTCCCCATGTCTCAGATCATAAGAAAAGCAAAATGATTCTTCCTCTTTAATCACTCAGTAAACATTTTATAGCCAGATGCTGAATATGAGTTGTATTATACAAATAAGCCCAGTGACGGTGTTCTTTGTACGAGCCCTCCGGTAAATTGTTTCCATCTTTCCACTTCTAATGGCTTTGGCTTTTTATTCTCCATTTTCATCAATTGAAACTGATAAGAGCTCATTACTGCAGAATAAACCATAGCAAAAGTATCTGGATTTAAGTAGGAGAAATGCCATAGCCTAAGTTTTTTTGTTTATTACTGCGTAATCTCATAAAGCTCTGCTTTACTAAGGAGTTTTAAAGAACAATTTTATGTTGAATTAAAAATGTGAACTGTTTCCTACCTTTGTGTAATAACTTTCATGTGGTGAAACAGTTGCGATTTAAAAACGAAAGCTGTTCTTTGATGACTGCTCGCTAGTGTGCACAGAACTGAGTTCAGTACTGTGGTCCTGCATGTCATAAAATACTGTCATACTGCTTGCTTGTAAAGGAAGTGTAGAGAAGGAACAGAACATTTGTCAGGTTCTGTTTATTGCTGTCTGTACCTATGCTGGGTAGAAGAACCCTATTTATCTTACTGACCATTGTCCCCAAGACAGAAAGTGATGGGGAATCAAACATATTACACTTGTCGCCAGAACAAGAGGTGAGGGGAAATCTTCCAATGGGGGAAATCTATTGCCATAAAAACTATTAAAAAGGGAAATGCCCCTCATTCTGTAGAAATTTCCTCTCAATTCCTGTTATGTCCAGGATTGCAATGAAGGGAAATCTTAACGGGACACAGGTGGCAAAAAATTTGACAGGGGTTTAAATTCTACTCAAGTCTATCCAAAAGAAGAATTTTAAAAATATTTTGGCTGCACATGCTTTATACAAACCTTTCATAGAGAAGATGGATAAGTCCAGTATTGCCAATAGGGATCTATTACTTTTTTCCAGTCTTTCCAGCAACTGTTGTTACGAACACTGTGGATCAAGGCAAACCGAGACTGCAGCACCTCCATCAGGATATAGTGATACATAAGGATCTTTTTTTTTTTCCACCCAAGATTTATACAACTTTTGCTGAATATTCACACTTTCTAATTGGATTCAATTGAAAAAATGTGTGAATCTTGTGCAAACGTTGTGTGAATCCCGTGTGAAAACATTTTATAAATAGTGCAGAGTGCATAACAAAGCCACAGGTTTTCCAATTTTTTAAGCCTGCCATAGACCGTGCTATTTTCTTTCCTGCAACCACGGTTGCAATACTGACTGTGTTGATGGGGGAATCCCTCCAATTGAGTCATTGTGTCCTCCCAGTGGGGGTGGGGGGAGTCATCTCGCTGGGAGAACACCGTGATTACTGCTAGCAGCTATAATAGCCTGGGAGGGGGGGAGCTGTCTCTCCTGGGAGAACACCGCAATTACTGCTAGCGGCTATAATAGCCATCAGCAATAATCTCATGTAAAACCAGACCGGTTGGTTGTACCAAAGTTGATGGATTTAACAACTTTGGTACATTCAGCCTGCCCATACACTGTTCGAATCTCATCTGGTTCATCAGAAACCAGGCGAGATTTTAAACGGTCTATGGCCAGCTTTAGTAAGGAAAGGTTAGGACTTGTGTAAGTGTGTGTTTTTTTCTTGTGTTTTTTTTCACTTCTTGTGTCCCATTTGAGAGGTTTCCCTTCACTTCTTGTGTCCCATTTGAGAGGTTTCCCTTCACTTCTTGTGTCCCATTTGAGAGGTTTCCCTTCACTTCTTGTGTCCCATTTGAGAGGTTTCCCTTCACTTCTTGTGTCCCATTTGAGAGGTTTACCTTCACTTCCTGTAAGAACAGATCTCTCAAAAGTGAATGGATATCCTGGTCGCATTACAGGCTTCCCCATGTAATTTTTTTACCCTCCCCTCCTGTCCCTGTGAAAACTCAATTTCCCTTCACTTTCTGTACCAGAGAAAGTGGCCACAAAAACAGTAGTGTGGGTGAATTTCTGCTGTGGGAGCACAACCAGCAAGAAAAACCTGACAAAAGTCCCAACCCTTCCTGTCCAAAGCTAAAAGAGAAAAAAAAAGGGTTTTATGAGAAATGGAAGGATTGGCCTAATGTTAACATACCTGCATCCTATTGTTTGCAAAATACTTTGCTAAAGGGAACCTGTATTGTTAATTGCCTTGAATTTTATAAGCTCTATACTGAAGCATGCAGCTAGAGGTTAGTGATGAGCTCAGGCGTGTTCGACCACAACTGGTACCCGCCTGAGCTATCCAGCTGGGAAGCTGTCAAAGGGACATACTGGAGATTATATAGTCAAGTACCTAGACCTTTTAGATGTGGCTGCAACTAAGGGCTTGTTCACACCAGATGCTTTCAGGTGTGTTTTTATTAAATGCAGCCTGAAAGCATGCACAGTAAAATCAATGTTTTCCAACAACCATTGTTCTTGCCATTGGCTTTGCTTGCACTGCTTTCAAAATATGTACAGCAGCAGGCATTTTCTGAACAGGAATGTGTGTAAACACACCAGAATGCATATAATCACTTTTTTTTCAAGTGTAAATAAACACCATGTCTCAAGTGGGGAAAAATGCTTTGGAACACATTACAAATGCATGAAAAGTGATAGTGGTGTGAACTAGCACTTGGGGGAACCTGGAGCAGCCTTTGCTTTTCCTCTAGCAGCTTTTGATCTAGGAAAAAAGTATTTGTGCCCTTTTAGCTACTAAGGCTTCATTGACATGGCCATAAAAATTCGCATACAGGTGTTTTATAACAGATCTGAATGCAGCTGCATTGTTTTCAATACTGCCATTCACATAGGTGCATCTTTCATATCCTTAATGCAGATTGTTGGATTCTGTATTATGAACACGCACTTCACGTGCTTGCACATATAATCGCATGTATACACGTTTATAATTGGATAAATTAGGCCTAAAAAAAGGGGAAAATAAATGATCATAAAAAACAAGTAATGTACACATGCGTGTCTTTGCACATTTAACTACTTGCCACCAAAGGATGTCCCTGTCCGTTCTTGTGTTGCAGTGGATATACCGGATGATGCTTGTAGCTGCAGGCATCATGCTGGTAGAGGTGTGTTTTTTTTTTTTTTTTTTTTTTTTTTCCAGCTCGTGGTTGGCTTTCCTGTAAAAGTGATTCTAGAACCTCACTTTTACAAGCAACCATCACCCCCCACCATCCCATGATTATCCTGGGCTCTCCTCTCCTACCAGGAGAGCCAAGTGTTCAGCCACAGTTTGGCTGGCTGACCATATAACTGATCGGACACTGGAGCTGGACATGCACAGATTTTACAATGGACAATGCTAGGTACTTTGGAGATAGTTTTCTCAGAAAAAAAGGATTGGGCAGTAAAAATCATGCTATTTTGCACCATTACTATCTTGTATTGTCTTGAATGGGGTTCTCCTTTAGGTTTCCCAAAATAATGTAACCTGCTATTTCTTTTTTCAATCATTTTGTTATTTTTCAGGATGGTCATGAGATTTGCTTTGTTGGAGATGAAGCATTCCGTGAACTTTCCCAGACTGACCCAAAGGGAGATCAACTTCTGAATGATGTATGTACTTATTTCTCACATCTAATTTTTCTTATTAACAAAGCTTGGACATTTTAGTAACATTTGTGTTAAAAGAAAAAAAAAAGATTCAAACTAGTGTAATTGCATATGCGACTTCAGTTGTAAAGAATCACACAATGAAAATAACATTATTTTCAATGGTGTCTTTTTTTTTTTTTTTTAATTCTCACATGGCCCCACAGACTAATTGAAACGCATCAAACCCGCATATAAACCACATGTAAAATGAGTGACAAAGTATTGTGTGTAAAATTCTCCTACTACAAAAAAAAGCATGAACCATGAAAAATGCACTACAAAATCGCACTGAAAATCACATCAAGTAGCAGCTGTTCTAGTGTGGACCTAGCCTTACCTTGTATTCTGCAAGGGAATTTCTTGTTGAGTTCATGAGGATAAGTGTGTCCAAATACACCATCAAATCCTTCTTTTTTTTTTTTTTTTTTCTTTACTTTATACAAGGGACAGGAGCGAACACCTGTTATGGTTCAGTGCATAGCTAGTAAATCAGGGTCACAGTGCTAAACACTTGTCTCAGAAGCCTCGCAGGCTGTATATCGGGTCCAGGACAGCTAAGATGTAAGTAATGTAAGTGTGAAGCCTTTGAGAATAGCTGCCTCCATGAGACACTTCAGAGGCAGGTATTCAGCCTCTAAACAATAGGAAACATTTACTAAAGCTGGTGCACACACTCTGGTTCAGCTGTGCATAGTAACCAATTAGTTTCTGACTTCAGCTTGTTCAGTTAAGCTTTGACAGTAATGCAGGCCATAGATGGGGAGAAAACCGTCCGATTTTCATCCCGGTCGTTCAATCGGCCGACGTTACCAGGAACGATAAAAAAAAATTAGCCGATTTTCATCCCGTCTACAGCCGGCAAAAAGTGTCCCTGCAGAGAGCTCCGCTATTTCTTTGACATTTCTAGCGGCTGCAACATTGTATCTATTTGTATCCATTTCGGATACAGATGTTTTTATTCCGAAACAAATAGATACACTGTTGCTGCCGCTATAAATGTCAAAGAAATAGCGGAGCTCTCTGCAGGGACACTTTTTGCCGGACTGGAATTCTTCTTCTTCCTCCTCCTTCTTTTTCCTTTTTCCTTTTTTTTCCTCTTCTTTTTCCTTTTTCCTCTTCTTTTTCCTTTTCTTCTCTCATGCGCAGATTTTTTTTATCGGTAAAAAGATCGGCCGATTTGCCCATCATTTCTGCGATAATCGGCTGATTTTTTTCAAACTTTTTACCGATGAAAAAAATCTGCCAAAATACCAAAAAACGGCCGACCTATTAACCCACTAACGTTCCGAAAATCGGCCAATTTTATTTTCGGCCGAAAAATCGGCCGATTTTCGACCCATCTATGGCCTGCATAAGGGTCCTCTCACAAGGCATTCTGTGTTTTTTTTTTTTTTTTTTTTTTTTTTTTTTTTTTTTTTTCTCCCCTCATCAGTTCAGTCACACTTTTTCAAAGAAAAAAAAAGTATCAGTTTACATCCATTCTTCATCAGTTTATATCAGTTTTGTTTATCCGCTTACATCCGTTTTTTCATCCATTCCATTTATTTTTTTACAGAAGAAAAAATAGGGGTTTCTTCCGTTCTTCCGGACATTAACGGTTGTAAACAGATGATCAAACAGACATACAGAACGCCCATGTGAAAGAGGCCTAAGGGCCAGTTCACACCATGCGTTTTCAGTGTGCTTTTTTTCTGCATCCAAATGCACAGAAAGTAGGTCACATGGTTGTCAATGTCATAGTTCACATCAGTGCTTGCAGTTCCAGTGCGTTCCGGTTGCAGAAAAAAAGTAGAACAGGCTGCATTTTTCCTGCACAGAACTGTACTGTAACGCGGTAAAACACACTTGAACGTGCCAAAACATGTCAAAAACACGTATGTGGAAACGCATCTGGTTTCTATAGTGTGAACTGGCCCTAAAACCTGGAAGCTGATTGGTTACTGTGCTCAGCTGCACTACTTTTTAGAAAATGTCCCCAGTGTCTCTTTTAGCTAAATGCGGATTATGTCAAGATAGTTCTAAGCTTGATCAGTGAATTTCTCATTGTACTGTCTCTTTAAAGTGACTGTCACTAAATATAGCTGTAAAATAAATCTGCCTCTACAAAGAATATAGTAAATGCTGCTGACTTCGATTTGCTGTGTTGACGATAAATTGTTGCCTAAAAAAATCTTCAGAAATCTGACTCTTCTGGCATTGTCCATTTTCTGGTCCCTCAATGGCCCCTAAAGGACACAGTAGAGATGTGAAGAATGCAAGACCAATAATCTGAATCAGAACATCGCTGCAGTGAAAGACTATCTTTGTGTTTATAACTGGCAATCAGGTTCTTTCTTCCCATCTCTAAGGCTAGGTTTACATGTAATTGCGTGCCTTCCCACACCCACAGAAAAAACAAAATGCAGTTTAGGAGATTTGTGGGGGTACTATTAATCCCAATGCAGTTTCCTTGTCACCGTATTTTTTGAAAAGGTGCAGAGACCCTTTCCCTGTATTTTCAGTGGATACAGCAGCCCAATCAAATGAATAGGCTGCTGCGCTCAGGCAAACACAGTTGTGGGGAAACTACATCGATGTAAACCAAGCCTAAAATGAGCTAATAATATAAAATTGACAATCTCATTGTGGGCCAGGGTTCCCAACCCAAAATACTGTTACAAGAACTGCTTAGGTAATACATTGGTGGCAAAACGATATGCACCTTGTCCCACTAATTACAACTTGTTGCAGTACAGTGTGACAAAACAAATATGTATGCTAGCCATTTTTATTGTAATTTAGTGGGTAATTTCACTGTTCACATGTTTTACAAGTTCATTAGAGGATTATTCATTTTCCCACGGGAAAAATTCCATACAGGAAATATTCATTTGAAACAGTTTTATTGAATTTCTAATGGTTCCTTTATAAATTCTACTCACAAAATGTGATTTTCTGTATTTCCGTTACAGCTTAAGCCTTCATAGATGCCAACAGTAGCAAGAGTAGTCACAAGATTAAGTGTGAAGCTTCACATCGTTAACCAGTAAACCTCAAATACACATGGTTATTAAATTGGAGCTGTCAAATGAATGGCCTCAGACGTTGCATTTCTTTTACATAAGATTGACTATAATAATCATATCATTTATCCATATGACTTAAAATAGAACTATGGGCAAAACCTTTTTTTCATATTGGATAGAGTAAGGGAGGGTTATAACCCCTGTCAGTGTGTGTGTGTGTGTGTGTGTGTGTTTGTGTGTGTGTGTGTGTGTGTGTATTTTTTTTTTTTTTCTTTCCTTGCCACTTTGTAGGGGAGATTTACCTTCACTTCCTGCCCCATAACCAAGCAGGAAGTGAGAGCATATCCTTGCAAATTAAGGGAATTCCTTGGGGGCCCCCCAGGTCACCAGAACTAGGGTCCCTATTAGGAGATTTCCCATCTATTACTTTTCTGGGCACAACCCAAAATTTGGGATTTTCTTTCACTTTCAGTAATGGTAAACAGGAGAAATAGAGATGGTGAATCTTCTTAACGGGGGCACATATAGCAATAAAAACTGACGGGACTTAATCCATCTCCATTCTATCCAAACTAAAAAATAGATAAATAATATGTTTTGGCGGTAGTTATACTTTAATATTAGCTCTCCTACTTAGGAACAGCACTAGCTGTAAAACACATATTTAGGTGTTACTATAGTAGACTGTAAAAGTGATTTATTTGCTTGAGAAAAGTAACACTGCTTCATTGTTTTCTACACCAGCTTTATAGGGGGAGTGCTGGGTCAATTAATGATGCCTTCTATTTTTCAGGACTCCTTTTTACACAAGTTCAATACTTTAAAATAAACAAACAGGAGTCTTACTTTCTTTGCAAATACTCGAGGTCAGCATACATAACTCATTTTTTTTTATGTATATTTACAGGCCATGGCTGCAGACAAGAGTAAAGAATGGTTTGCAAAGCACAAAAAACAGAAACCATCTGCATAGATACCACTGACAGATCTATGTGGCTCATAGAAGATGCTTGTGCTGTAAATGTTCATGATTGCTTTCAAAATAAAATCTGAAAGGCTTACTGTAATTAAATTTGTCATATATTGTCATTGTGCCTTATTTCCCTTCTGTTATGTTCTTACTAATTGATCTGCACATGTTATGTTAGTGTAATAAATACCTTATCTAGATCACTGTGAACATTTCTTCCTTGGATTTTTGCTACATCATATGCCTGTAACCTCCTATACGAATATGGGTGACAGGCAGGCCTTTCAATTCTCTGCTTTCAAATTTAAGGCCACAATAGCAGCTTTTTTTTTTTTTTTTCTGTCTGTTTTTTATTCTCTTTCTGCATGTTGCAGCTTTGGTGTGTACGGCATGGAAAGTTGATTTTAGCATATTTACAGGTCCCTAATTCTCTCCTTAGCGGTTAGATCTGTCTGCTAGTTGATAGCTAGGATATAAGCGTTGACACTGGTTCTCTCTCAAAAAAAAAAAAATACTGCCTTAGAATGGGGTCACACAAGTGCACTACAGTTTGGCCACAGCGTGATTGTAAAAACCAATAAATTCGACTGACTATCCAGAACCAAATGTAATTCCCAGACACTGTGTCTGTAATTACAACTGATAAATCAATGCGAGAGCTGTGCATCAATCTCTCTACGAATAAAAGTTGTTTTAGGGCTTAGTGGGTTCTGTGCATAAACAGCTAAAAATAATGTATGTTGGCAACAATTTTAAAATCATGATCCTGCAGGTGGATGCAGGGGATTAAAACATATGGTAGGAGTATTCAAAATGAGTTTTCCATGATGAGAGATTCCCTTACTTATGTATGAAAACCGGTCCTTCTGAGTGCCACCAACACCAGACTATTTTTCAATTTCACCCCGCATCTCCTGATAATAAAAAGCACATCAAAAAGTGCACATCCCAACTCCCCAAAACTCCATGTGTTTCACCCATAAAAGGGCTTCGTCAGGAGTTAAAGTGTTGTCTTGAACAAAAAATGTGCTCAAACTCAAAACCTGTTTCTAATCAGGAGAAACTAATTTTGAATACTACCAGATTTTTTTTTTTTTTTTCTTTTTTTTTTTTTTTCATATTCCCTGCATCCACCTGTAGGTTTATGATTTTTTAAATTTTTGCCAACATACATTATTTATAGCTATGTATGAATAAGTTATGGTTTATGCTGTGTGTATAGAGATTGACGCACAGCTCTGTCCTTGATTTATTGCAGCACAAATATATATGCAGTTTGTGGGTAGGTGCAGAGTGTGGTGAGGTGGTAGTACATACATTGTGTCCGGTTGCAGATAACTTGTATTAAAGGAAAGGCCCACCTTATAAACAGCCCAGCGGGAGTGCACCATGCCAAAATGGATGCAGTGTAGCCAACCGGAACGACGCCCGGGAAACCATAGAGAAATCAGGTTTCAGCTTGATTTACTTGTTTGGGGGGGGGATTTTTTTGACATAATGCTCATACATCTTGGGGGGGGGGGGGGGGTAAACTAATTTGGCATATTTGCCCTGGTGTTTCTCGATGGCTTGGATCTGAATCCAGCCATGATCTCAGCTCACCTGCAATCAGCGGTACAGCAGTGTGGGCTCACACCAAGCAGCCAGTGGTGTGTTGGTTCAGGCGGCTCCAGGTGAATGCAGCTCAGGTCAGTCTGTGTGCAGACAGCTGGTTCTTTCAATTTGGCTCCAAGGCTGGCAGCACCCAGGGCACATCCCCCCCCCCACCTCCCCTAGTTTCGACCCTGCATACATGTATTGACATGATCATTCGATATGACTAAATAAGAATTGTAAACCACAGACCCTGTATTCAACAGATTCAGTGAGCTTTTAATTGATTTTGGGGATGGCCGATCGGGTGGCCATGGAAGAATTTTATCGATTTTTTTTTTTTTTTTTTCTGATAGATCAAACTAATATCTGCATGTGTGTCAGACAACAGATTGTAATACAATACGATTGTAATACAATTAAATGATCATTTTTAATAGTTTGTTTCTAACTGATCATATTTTCAAACCATATGTAATGTGTGTTGCATAGTTCCATATTTACACCTATTGCACACTGCGGTGTAATCGCCCACACAGGATTTTTTTTTTCTCTTAATGCAGTTTTTTTAAATGCATATTCATGTGTTTTTAAGTGTTTTGTGCACATGCATGTAAGCCCCTGGGTTGGAGGAAGAGGACCACAAAAGAGACAGGTTGTTCAGACATAAAAATGCTTGTGTCATGCATATAGTGGAAGTACATAGGGCACAAAACATGGGGCACAGTGCCAAAAAAGACCATTTACCTTATGGAACTTCTAGTGTTCTGAACATAGAGATGTGAATAGCTTGTACTGAACGCTATTGTTGAGCGTTGTCAAGTGTAGGTTTATGAGCAAAAAACCTCAGGTGTGAATAGGGAACTTAAAGCGGAACTTAACCCAAAAGGGGAAGTTCTGCTTTTCTCCCCCCCCCCCCCCCCCTCTTCTATCATATTTGGAATGTTTTTTTTTTGGGGGGTGGACAGGTACTCACTCCCTACTTCTGCTTTGACTGCTAAGTCAATTGGAGCAGAAATTCAGCCCCTCCCTCTCCACAACCACTTTGGATGGGTCATAGATCCCAGAAGGCTGCAAGACCATTCAGATAGCTCACCGCTGCTACTGTATGCGCAGAAGGGAGTCAGCTGTGAAGCCACAAGGAATCACAGCCAGCTTCTCATAGTTAACATGCTGGTGCTGGGTACCCGAAGACGGGCGAAAAACCAGCCCAGGTGAGGACAGTGCTAGATCCCTGGACAAGTAAGTGTCCTATTAACCACTTGCCCTCCTGAGGATTTACCCTCCTTCCTGACCAAGCCATTTTTTTTTTTTTTTTTTTGCGATACAGCACTGCGTTACTTTAACTGACAATTGCACGGTTATGCAACGCTACATCCAAATGAAATTTCTGGCCTTTTTTTTTTCCCCACAAATAGAGCTTTCTTTCAGTGGTATTTGATCACCTCGGTGTTATTTTTTGTGCTATAAAAAAAAAAAGACCGCCAATTTTGAGAAAAACAATATTTTTTTATTTTTTACTTTTTGCTATAAAACATCCAGTAAAATTTTTTTTTTTAAATCTAATTTGGTCATAAATTTAGGACAAAATGTATTGTTACATGTCTTTGCTAAAAAAAAAAAAAAAAAAATCCCAATATGTGTAAATTAATTGGTTTACATGAAAATGGTGGTATATATACTTTTTTTTTTTTTTTTTTTTTTTTTTAATACTAGTAATGTCGGTGATCAGCGACTTATAGCGCAAATGCAGCGGGCATTCTGACACAGGGGGGAACTGTCACTGACATCCCCAGTGACATCAATATAGTGATCAGTGCTAATAAAAAAGCACTGACACTGTACTTATGACATTGGGCTGGAAGGGGTTAACATCTGGGGCGATCAAAGGGTTAACTGTGTGCTGTTTTGCTGTGTGTATGCTTTACACTGTAAGTACACTGCTTTGTATGGCTCTGTATTGTTTACATACAGGTCTCTCCCCAGTCCGTGATATACGGTGATCTCTGGGTGCTGGATGGGATTTACCAGCCGGGAACTGGTGATCTACAGGTGGGGCCGCTAATGGCGGTGTGGGTAGGGTGCGCGCCCCCTACCCAGAAATGCAAAATCACATATATACCTGATTTTGCACACCCCTACCGCACTGCAGCAGTATTTCTGCTATAGGGCGGTGGGAAAGCGGTTAATAAAAGTCAGCAGATACGGTATTTGTGTACAATAATTAAATTATTTTACAAACCGAAGCTTCTCTTTAATCAAAGAGGAAATGCTTGTTTGCCATCACTCTTACCTAGGCTAATCACAAATCAACATGTGTGTCCACTTTTAGATTTCTGTATAGGAGCTTCTGCAACATCATCCATAGTGTCCACTTCATCCCCGAATGATTAGAGCCATAGTATATTTTTTGTTGCAGAGAAATAAGAGCTTTTGACCTTTTTAATACTTGTCTTTGTTGACTAATGTGCAGTGAAGGAGGAAGGATTGCAGGTCAGAGCTCTATTGTAATTGATACTACCCCTGCTTCTGGAATTATGATTTAAGACTGCTGGCACAACATAAAAATCCCCGTCAATATTTGTTTAGTAAGGCACTGTTCTCTGTTTGTATAGCAGCAAGCCTTCAGTAGAAGCAGAAGGGACTACCCTATGCTTAGCTAAAAACAAACTCTTATGAGAATTAGAACTGAGCTAGCAACACAATATTACATAATAAAAAACAGCACATTTTATGGTAAGAAGCATATTTCTGTCATTTTTATTATGAGTCATATAAGCAGTATTTAGAGCAGTGTCTGCCACAGGGTTGATACAAAGGTGTTCTCAATTTATACTTTCAGAGGCGTATGATTTTAGCAGCCTGGTCAAATTTAGTTCGCTGTGGCATTGTAAATTGCAATAGGACACTTGCCTTGCTACCACTCATGTGAGTGGAAAACCCATTGAGTGATCTTGTTTTCCTCCGTGTTTCCTTTCTGTTGATGCCAAACCACCAGTCGCCAAAGAGCAACGTACTGCGAGGAAACAAAGTTTTCTGTAAGTAATATATAAAAAACACAATTGGGATATTGATAAGTGTTAACACCATAGCCTGATATACATACATCTTTGCCTAATTAAAGGAGAAGTGTGGGATTCAAAAAACAAAACACACATACTCACCTCTATGGCTGCAGCTATTCCCTGCCAGCTATGAGCTCAAGAACTGTGTGATAACATGACTGATGATCACTCAGCTCTCGGTATGCTGAGCAGAGGACGGTGACTGTCAGTCACCGCTTTCCGATCTGCCCCTCCAGCACTCACTGGAATGATGGGCTGTGAAGGCGGTAGGAGCAGCTGGTTTAGGCTCTCAGCAGTGAGATGCCAATCAGGCATCTGGGTGGATCCTGACATTATTGTCAGGAT